AAGTACTACGCGTGCTGTTAAGCTACTTGTCCCGATTAAGTTTAGCTGTTATATATAAATTAAACGAGCCGACCCGTTCCGAAAAAAGTTCAATAGATTAATATAGAATAAAAGTCTTAGCACGCTTAGAAATCCTGCTAGACCGGTATAGAATAGTCTCACGTGATTAGATGATTAACTACTACTACAACCCTTGGATTACTTATCACTACCACAACTACTGGAATTTATCTTGGGTTACCGTTGGTGACAATTATAAGTAAACAAGCGTTTTGCAATTGATTACTTTAAGTAAAAGTTTCAAAGAATCTTATATTAAGTAAGTCTTTAGATTAATACGTTCTTAGCTTTGCTTTTAAGCTGAATTTAATAATTAAAGTGTCTTCTTAAAGATAGCGTAAGTCGTTAAAAGAATTGCTTTCCGAATCCGATCTTAAAGCAGCTAATATTAAAAGTAAAGTAAGACTTTTTCGTAACTAAAAGTATATTATTAAAAATGAACTTAAGACTTTGCCTTTATAAAAGAAAGAAAATAGAGTTAGCGGAAGCGTAAGATCTATTAACAATCTTTATTTAAAAGTAAAAAGCCGTTAAGCTTTTTCTTTAAATAATTGTTTTTCTTCTTTTACAAAAACCGGATCTTCAATTTCTTTTTCTAGAGTGCGTGTTGTCTTCTTCCTTTAAAGTTCTAAAGCAAGATATGCAGACTATTGCTTGCCCTTTTTTATAGAAAGTCTTCTTAGATAAAAAGGTCCGAGCGTTTAAAATTAAAAGAAAGAGCTAATAAAAAAAAGGTTTTCTATTTTAAATAGCTTTTTAAGAGTCTATTTTTAAAGCAAAGCTTTTCTTATAATCTTTAATTAATATCGATTAAGGTCCGAGTAATAAAGCTAAGTTTTAGTTTATGTGTTCTTAAATCTTAAAAAGCTAATTTTTATTTTACTTAGTTTCGTTCGAGTATCGTCGGCAGATTGAAAAGCTGATCTATATCTTGCTAAGTTTCTTTCAAGTATCGTCGGCACTTGACTACGATTAAAAAGCTGATCCGTGTTTTTAGCACTTGACTGCGAATCAAACAGAGATTTGCAAGTTTCGGTCTTAGCGTTAATCGCTAGCTAAAAGATTAATAACGAAAGTGAAAAGGTTATTGTATTCTTTAAAAAAGAAAAATCATAAAAGAAAGAGATGACTCTTCTGCTACTTGGTCCGTGCTTTAATAATATCACGTGGGATAGCCCCACGACACTCCTCTTGCTTAATAATGTTTTTTATAACTTAAAAGCGCTTGCAAATACGTTATAAATTCTAAAAGAATAATGTCTTTCGAGCTTTAAAAGATTTATCGATACTTTAGCATTTACAAACAAGTCATCTAAGCAAAGAAGCGCTCGAAGCGCTAGCTTATAACGTTAAAAAAGTAAGACTTAAAAAAATCATTAAAGTTGAATATAAAGTATGTGCTATTACGCACGCTTAACAAGTCATATTTCGCTATACGTTAAATAATAAAACAATTAAGCTATTTTATAAGATCGCTTAAGATTTATTCGACTTCTTTAACGGTTTTAACGAAAGCAAATAGTTATTGATAATTAAAGATGAATATAATAAAAAGCTATTCGGCTTTATATTAAAAGACAAGTTGCAATTAACGGTTATAAAAGTGCTAAAGGAATTTAAAGCATAAACGAAACGCAAACACAATCTTTTAATAGCTATTATACGTTATAATAACGATTCTTCGGTAATCGCAATCAACGTTATCGGCTTTACCGAATATTAAAGATAAGCGAAAGAGGTTAAAATCGAGTTAAAGTTTTTATTATCTTTTAATTACGAACTTAATAAAAGAGCCGAAAAAGCTAAAAAAGAAGTAATAGAACGGTCTATTAAAATAAAAATAAAAGCAAGGCTTTTAAAGAAGCTCTAGCTTGAGATTACACTAGCCGTTATCTACTTTTATAATATAATATCGAGAGCGAAAAGCTTTATAAAGAGTCCGAATAAAGTGCTACAGCTTTAGTTTAAGTAATATTTTAAGTAATACGATCCGGCGATTTTTATACGGATCGACACCGACTTAAGACCAGATTATAGCGGTTTAGTTGCGTATAACGCTCGTGCGTACTTAATAATCAAAGACCGAAAAGCTTTTCGCAACAAAAGAGCTTTTAAAATTAAACCGAAAAGATATATTGGTTACTTAATTAGATATATAGCTTTTAATATATACAAGGTCTATGTTTTTGTGCTTTATAAAGTGATTGTTATACGCAACGTGACGTTCGATAAAACTCGATTTTATTTTAAAAACGAAAAAAAATCGATCGGCTAATCGATTAACGAAATTAAAAGCATCGTTATTGAATTAAAAGATATTAAAGACTTTAATCAAACAAAAGACGCTTTATTTGATATAAAAAACGTTATAAAAGATCGCTTAAAAAAGACGAATACAGCTAATATAAAAAGTAAGCAGCCGTTAGACCTTATAAAAGTTAAGCTAAAAGAATCTAATTAAAGCTTAAAGAATGCGACCTTATCTAATTCGAGCGATATACAAACGTTAAAAGCTTTAACTCTAATTAAAGACCTTATAAATACGTTTATACTAAAAGCAACTGCTTTACGAGACGATCTAATAGACTTTGACGATTCGAACTACACTACTAAACGTCTCGCTAGCTCTTTAGCTAAGAGCAAAGGCGAAAGTGCTTTAAGACTGTTAAAAGTAAAGAAAAGCACCGTAAGCGGGCAAAAACTTAGCTTTAATAAAAAAGCGCGCAAATTATACTTTTAAGTTGTTATTTAAAGCCGAAGCCCGGAGAGCTAAGCTATAAGCCGATTAACGAAAGCTTTTACGTTAATAACCGGCGGAGATTTAAACCGGACAATTAAAAAAGAGCTTTTAAACCTTTTTAAAGCGAGCATTAATAATAAAAAATTAAATTATAAACACTTTAAACAAAATTCCGACTTTAATAAAAAGCACTTACTTATTAATAGCTGCATTAGAAAACGCGCGAGAATATACGCAAATATTAATAAGCTTCTTTTAAATAACTCTCGCGCCGATTCGAATTGCTATTCGCGCGTCTTAAATTTTATATCGACTTTTTAAGCTAATAGCGAACTCGTGCGCGAAGATAGCAAAGATTATAAAACATTGCACGCTATTATAACAGCTGTTACTTCGTTTAAGCTATAATTAAAACAGCTTAATTCGCAAGAACTAAAACATCTAAAACCTTTTACTTATTAAAAAAAGCTATAACGGCACTTATACAGCAAAGAGTTTATAAACGAAGCTCTTATAAAGCTAAATAATCTAAAAAAAAAGAATTATTAAAAAGTGATTCTCGAGAGCGAAGCTAAGTCAAAACTTATATCTTTTAAATAAGTGTTTATATATAAAACTAGCTCGTCCGAAAAGATCGTAAGATTTAAATCGAAGATTATTATTAAAAGTGATCTTTAAGACGAATCTATTATCTATTCAACTTACGCTATTACGCTAGCAGCTAGATCTTTTAAAATTATAATAGCTATAGCAGCCGAATTTAACTTAAAAGTAAAACAATTCGACGTCGTTAACGCTTTTATTAACGCTATAAGATATACAAATAGCGTTTTAGTTACGTGTTATCTCTTTAACGGTTTTAAATAAAAAAGTATGCTCGTGAAGGTCGATAAAGCTTTATATAGATTTAAAGACTCGCTAGCTTTATAATATTTCGACTTTATAAGCACACTCGATAAATTAAAGCTTATACTATTCGATAAAGAACCGTATATTTTTACGAATCTAAATAAAACGGTCTTCGTAGCGTTCTACGTAAACGACATTTAAGTTATATATTATTCTTTTAATCTTTTTAAAGCGTAAAAGATTATTAACAGTCTTAACAAAGCGTATAAGATCGAAGCGATAAGAGATATTAAATAGTTTCTTAATATAAAAGTCGTCCGCGACCGTTAGCGAAGAACGCTAACGCTTATACACGACGCTTATATTAAAAAAATAACTAAGAAATTCGAACTTACGAACGAACGCTGCTTAGCAACTCTATTACCGTTCTATAACTTAATTAAAAATAAAAAGATAACTTCGCGGAAGCAAGTAAAAGAGTATTAAAAGAAGGTTGAATCCGTGTTATATATAGCGATTATGGTACGCTTAAATATAGCTTTTGCAGCCTCTCAACTCTCTTACTTTAATACTAATTTAAGCGCAAAGCACTTCCGAGCTGTAAATTAATATTTGCGATATCTATTTAGCTCGCGCTTTAAAGGTATTTAATATAGCTAGTTCAGCAAATCGGAGCTAGTAATAGCTTTTAACGCTTTTTACGCCGATAACGAAAAGACAAGGCGATCTTTTTAAAAGTATATTATATTTTTATTCGAAAGTGCGATCTTTTAAAAAGCTTTAAAGCAAGATATAATTATTATATCATTTATTAAAGCGGAGCTTCTTAGCATAGCCTTCACGGTAAAAAAGATTATAGCGCTTTCACGATTTTTCAAAAAGCTACACCTTCGATTTGCGGCGCTTTAAGTAGTTTATTATAATAATCAATAAATAATCAAGCTTATAGCTAGTAAGAAAGAGCGTATCTTTACTAAGCTTCGCTACGTCGATATTCATAATATATAGCTGCGCTAAAAGCACTTTAAAGAAAGCTTTCAAGTTTAATATCTTTTTATTAACGAAATGCAAGCTGATAATCTTATTAAAAACTTGACTCGACAGAAGTTTAAAAGCTTTATCAAGCTTTTAAATTTACAAAACGCTTACGCGTTCGTCGAGAAGCTTTAATAGCACGCATATGCTATTCATTTATTACATTTTTTTTTTTTTTTTTCATTTGTACGTAATTCAAAAAAAAACATTTATTTAGCAATTTTAACTGTTATTCTATCTTATCTTATACGCTTTTACCTTTCGCTTTTTATAACAAAAGATCAATTAAAGCTTTTAGCAATCTCTTTACTTTAACTCAGCGCTTCGCAAAAGTTATAACAACGGCGAGCGCCGCTGCGAAAGCGGTAAGCGTAATAATTAGCGCAAAAAAAGCGACGACAATAAATGCGACGGGAACGACGAGAGCTGCGAAAGCGACGAGAGCAATAAAAGCGGCTAGCGCAAGCGCAAGAGCTGCTACAGCAGCAGATTAAAGCCTTTGCATGAAGTCCGAGAAGAAGTTTTAATTAAAAAAAGCTGCTTAAATTAAATTATTTCGAAAGTCAAAAAGCTTGACTTACGAGAAAGTGATATGCTCGAAACGTTTCGTATCACCGGACTACGGTTCGCTGTTATAAGACTATTCAATCTAACAAAAGCTATATTTAAATTAAAAGTCTTAAGAGCAAAAGCAAAACTTATAAAGCTATCGAAATTACTTTTAAAACTTTTACTTCTATTCGCAAAACCGCCCGGACTATTAGCAACACCTCTTAAAAAAGCAGCATTTAAAGCGAGCTATTATCGCACAGCATTTCAGAGACTTCAGCGAACTCTTTATATAGTATTATTATTTTTAACGCTTACGAAGTTTTCGAAAGCGGTATTAGCAGCGGCAAAAGCAGCGGTGCAATTATTATAACTACCTTTAACATACCAAAGATAGCGTATAACGCTCGTATCGCAATTATAATAATCTTTATTAGACTTCGATATAATCTTATTATTAATACACCTAATGCACTTTAAAGCCTTGACGGTCGTTAATATAAGCAAGCGCTTAATAAAAAAGTCTAAAAGAAAAAGCGAAGGTTCGAAAGTAAGAGTGCGAAGTATAGCCGCCGCCGCCGCCGCAGCTGCAGCAGCAGCAATAGCTAAAGTAAACAAAAGATTCTCTTAATAGTCAGCATAAAAATATTAATCTATTAAAAGCACTTACTTTTAAACGGCCTCGGCCGCGCTTAACGATTCTACTAGATTAAGTTACTTGCTTAAAAAGCATTATATAGATAGATAAAAGTTAAGTATTTGTTATAATAAAAAAGAACGCGCTTTTATTTATATAGCAACGCGATAAAGACGACGCTAAAGACCTCCGCTACGTGATAAGACCGACTTAAAAAAGAATTGCATTCTTAATTAATACTTAATCAATAATAACAACCGCTATTTGTTTATTTTAAATTGCGATAACAATCTCTTTTGTTTATATCGAGTTTAAAAAGCTTAATCACTTATTTTTTTTCTTTTCTATTTGCTTGCAGCTTAGCAGCTACTCTGCTAACTTAAAAAGTATATTATACGGAACAAGCATAATTCTACTTAAGCTACATGTAACATATCATATGACCTCGCTTAATAGCGCCCTTAGCACACTAAAGCTCTTAAGTATATGTACATAGATCTTGACGAGCTTCTTAAATAGAATATACCAAGCTTCATTCAATCCACAGAATCTCCTCCTGATCTTAGTACTAGTAAGCACTACAGCTTCCTATTGTATTTTAAAGTCGAAGGAATAGACCTTCGAGGACGTGCTAAAATACGCCCTTTTCTATAAGCTTTTTAATTGCTGCGAGCTTTCAAAAGTAATAGTTATCCTTTATTAATAAGCGTTTTTCTTCTTCTTCGAACATGGATTTTGATAGCATATTGATCGAGAAGTATAAGGTAGATTTAAATTAAGTTGTTTAAGATTTTTATTAAAGGTTTTTTTTTTTAAAGTTTTTTCTGATTTTATTAAATTGCTACTATAATAGAATCAGGAGTGCAGAAGGTGTAGTATACGATATAAGAGTACTGAGAGCTAAGTACAGGTGTTCTTAAGGGAACAGCCAAGAGCCAAGAGGCTAGTCCAATCAAGGGAATATAGGTGACAGTCCAATATTCTAACACTTATCCTGATTGTAATCGAAAGCCCGCAGGTCACAAAGTCAATGCACTAACTATTACTATTACTAGCTAGCTAAGGTCGATATAGATATACCGACATATAATGTAATTGTAAAGTTTAATAAATGTGATTAGTAAATATAAAAAGTAAGTATAATTATTAAATATAATCAGTAAATATTCGTAAATTTATTTTATTATTAATCGTCGGTTTCCTTAAATTTTAATTCGAAAGAATTGACCGACTTGCTATAGCAAGTCGGCATCATTAAAGGGGGACACCCACTAAGTGACTAAGGTGGGACAGTAAATTTTGCTCTTTTTTAAAAAATAAATAATCAACCAACTATTATAAATTAAATATTTTTATATCAAAAGATGCGCAGTATTGAAGTTGATATTAATCAATTGATTGAATTTTAATTACAAGTTGTTATTCGTTTATTGTGTTAAGTTAAAGTAATAAAAATAATACTTTTAGTGTATACTTTTCGATTTTAGTAATGCGCATATATCAGAATTGCCGCGTATATATTAAAATAAGCGAGGAACGCGAAAATCGGACTTTTATTTAAATCTATTACAAAAACACGTGCATCACTACCAACTTTGATTTAATAATCAATGCATTTAGTAATATAATATATTAAATCATTTATTTTCGATTTATATGACGTTTCTTTGAATTAAGGTTATGGTTATGAAGATATTTGTAATAAACAAGAAAATTTGAATTATTTATAATAGTTTTTAATTATTTTTTCATTACATTTTAACATATTGGATTGCTATAGATAAATGGACTTTTATTATTTTAATTCAAGTTTATAAAGCAAAATTTCTTAAGCATATAAATATATATTTTTTTTAATTTTTCATAATAATAGTTATTGTTTAATAAGTGGTATACCGTTATTGTCCCGCCTTGGTGGTGCCGACCTGGCTGCGCCAGGTCGGGATTTTTTACAAATTAAATTCAAGGAAACCGACGATTACATTAGAATGTTCTTCGAATGTTCTCCTTTCCTTTTATTTTTTACTTACGATCCTATCATAATCATATCCATATATATCTCTTAACTCGCTGTCAAGTATATATCGGAGCTATTTCCTTTCATAATGCTTATCTGTCTTATGTTATTAGATAGATGGATATCTTTTGCTTTGACTTTATGAATAGTAGATACAGTGCAAGCAGGGATAGAATCGGTAGATACATAATTGTACTGATTGACTAGCGGTATTCTGTCCTTTGACTTTTGACTTAACTTGCTCTGCTTTGCCTTGCTTGATTACTTGCGTAAATACTGACTAGCATCTTTAAAGAGACTGGGCGCAAGCTCCGCCGCATCGCAGCGTCTCCGTCTTATTCTTAATTTATAAGCTTGCTTTACTAGGCCCCCGGGTAGATGAGCTTTGGCTGATTCCTTCGAGGCGCGCCGCGATAAGCAGCCCGATGTACCCTTAACATCAGAATCGTTTTTCAATTCTGCTTCAACTACTATTAGCTCTAGCTTGTAGGCACGGATAGAGTGTATAGATCTTTTATTCGCGAGTTTTAGTTGCTATACTCTTTGTACGCGCGCTTCGCCGGAGGATAGACATAGCGGACGAGCTCGTAGGATACTTCATGACTTAGCGTTCCCTTAAAAGGCCAGAAGGACCTCGCCCTTTCTTATTAGAAGTCACAGGTCAGAAGTCAGATACTAAGCATCAAATGTTAGGAGTCAGAAGTCAAAAGTCCAAAAAAGTCAAGGCGGGCAGCGCGGACACAAGCGGCAAAAGTAAACAATTGTAAGGAAAAGGTGAATACATCCTTGTTCCTCCTTAGTAATAATTCAGAGAACGTAGATTTATTAAATTATATTAACTGATCTTGATTGTTATTGCCCGTATAAGCAAGGCTTATCCCAATTCATTTATTTTAATTTTCTTTAATTTGATTTGATCTGATCTGATCTGATCTGATCTGATCTGATTTAATTTGATTTCATTTGATTTAATTTAATTTGATCTGATCTGATCTGATTTAATCTAACCTTTATCTAACCTCGAGTATTAGCTTTATAGTTCGCTCTTGGTCCGGTTCGATGCAAGTTAAAAATGCGCATCACGGGATGATTGGGATACAAAAGTATAGCGACAATTCTCGTTCTCGTTGCGCTTACGCAGCTGCTAAAAGCCGCAGCAATTAAAGGTGAGTAAAGCATTAAGATATCATCGCACGTATAAGAAAGCAATGAATGCGGCAGGTCATACTGGTATTATTTATGTATAACCAAGAGCTAGATACTCGGTCTATATAGGTTAAATAGATCTGGATCGGCTAAAATCGAGGTCGAAGACAACTGAAGTCAGAAGTCAAGTTAGAATTCAAAAGTCAGAAATCAGAAGTGAGATTAGAAATCAGAACTCAAAAGTCAAGAACCAAATGTAAGATTGAAAGTCAGAAGTCAGAAGTCAAGAGTCAAGAATTAAAAATCAGAAGTCAGGAATTGAATGTGCGATCAAAAGTCAGAAGTCAAATGTTGGGAATCAAAAGTCACAAGTGAGAAGTCAAGTCAAAAGTCAGAAGTCAAATAAGAAGTCAGAAATCGGAAGTCAGAAGCCAAGTCAGAAGTCAGAAGTCAAGTCAGAAGTCAGAAGTCAGAAATCAGAAATCAGAAATCAGAAGTCAGAAGTCAGAAAGTCTAAACAGTCTTCCATTTGCGGCCCGTCTAGCTGTATTCCTGGCATCGTTTTCGTGCTGATCTTCTTTTAAATGCGGTCCGTCCAGCTGTGATCCTGGCATTCTCTCCTAATTGCTTCCCTTCTTGATAGTAATGCACCCAGCTGTATCCTTGATGTCTTTTCCGTACTACTTCCCTTTTCAATGGCGAGCGTCCAGCTGCATCCTCAACATTGTCTCCGTATTTACTCGACCCCCTTCCCAAGTGCGAGCGTCCAGCTGTATCCTTAACATCCCTTTCGTATTGCTCAACCTCCTTCCCAATTGCGAGCGTCCAGCTGCATCCCGATATTGTCTCCGTATTTACTCGACCCCTTTTCCCAAGTGCGAGTGTCCAGCTGCATCCCGACATTGTCTCCGTATTTACTCGACCCCTTTCCCAATTGCGAGCGTCCAGCTGCATCCCGACATCGTCTTCGTATTGCCCCCCTCCCAATTGCGGGCGTCCAGCTG